GGCAGCTTAGTAGTAAAAACCCCCATGCCCACACTGGGGTGCTTGGGTTTGCTCCCAAGCTCTGGCTCATGACTCCAGCTTCCTGTCAACATACCCCCTGGGAAGCAGTGTTGATGGCCCAAGTCATTGGCTCCTGTCACCCAAGTGGGAGTCCCTGGATCCTGGATCCAGCCCTGGCCAGTTCTGGCCATGTAGGAATTTTGGGAGTGAACTAGTAGATGAGAATAATCTATCTCCTTCTCTCTCTTGCTCTCTCGCTCTCTCGCTCTCTCGCTCTCTCGCTCTTGCTTTCGCTCTCAAAATTAAGACAAAATAAAAGAAACAAAGTGTGACATCCTGGAAAAGCATTCAAGATATCTTTTTATCTCAAAGTGATAAACTCAGATTTCAAAGTCATAGGTACAATATGACCTCTATTTCTACAGAGAAAAATATATACTGCATTTTACTGTATAGAAAAATGTCACATTATGTCCAACTTTAAGTTGGTTTTGTTCGACATTTTACTAATAAATACATCTCCCTTTCCTCAGTCCAGTTCTCTGTGGGTAAAATCAGGGCAGGTGTGTGGCACAGGGGGTTAAGCTGTCACTTGGGACACTTGCCTACCATATCGGAGGGTCTGGGATTAGTCCTGCCTCTGCTTCTGATCCAGCTCCCTGCTAATTAACATACCTGGAAAGCCAGCAGGCGGTGACCCAAGTACTTGGGTCTCTGCCATCCACATGGGAGGCCAGGCGAGGGATCCTGGCTCTTGGCTTTGGCCTGGACTTGGCTGCTTTGGCCATTTGAGCAGTGAACCAGTAGATGGAAGATTCTCTCTCTCTTTCTCTCTCTCTCTCTCTCTCTCTCTCTCTGCTTTTCAAATAAATACATAAATACTTTAAATAAAATGTTAGCAGTCTTTTGTGTCTGGGAGACAGGAGCTCTCTTCCTTTTGTGTTTTTCTGGGATGTCTACTTTTTCTCAGTAAGCATATATTACAATCAATGGCAGTAAGAGCAAACAGTCCTGCTTCAAGTCTCTGAGCTGAGAGGCCTTGAGCCGCCCCCTTTCCCCTTGCGCGCAGAAGAGGCAGGACTGACGCTGTCTCGACTCCATCCTCACCGCCCCCCACCCTCAGCCTGGGAAGCAGATCGGGCGTCAGAAGGGACACGTCCAAGTTCCAGAAAAGGGCTCCAGCCCCCTTGTGAATAAAGCTGCCTCCCTCACCTCCTGCTCCGGCCACGTTGCTTGCACCCTCTCCTCCCTCTCCATGCCCTGCCGCGCCGGCATCCATCCAGAAACAGGAGCAGCGCAGGAAGAAGACACCTGTTGCCTGCTGACGCTTCAACAGGGACTCTAGAAACGAACCTGAAAGGCAGTGCAGGGAGGAAGGGAAGCAGCCTGCACACCCCTCTTTCTCGTGGATCTCAGGTTGGGAACCACTGGCCTTATTAAACTGTGCCTTAATGAGGCTCCTTCCTGGCCTAATTGTCACCATGGCGATGACCCCTCATGGCCATCTTTAATTAACTCCACCAAATGAGCTCCTCCGGTAAATTGCCTGCCAGCCCAGGCGGTCACGCAGCCCCTCCTCTGCCCTCTGTCCTCTGCTCTCTCTCCTCTGGCATGAGTGTGGGGCAGCAAACGCTCAGGTCTGGCTTCGCCCCCACCTGCTCATGCTCCCTAGCATGGCCAGAGGAGAGGCTAAGACCCATGCAGTGATAATAGCTGAAATACTCCACGCTGTCTGTGCAGCATCTCACTTAATCTTCAAGAAATTCCGTGAAGGATACACTCTCATCACCCATTTTCTCTCCTTCTTTTTTAAGATTTTAAGGCAGACTTACACAAAGAGAGAGAGAGAGAGAGAGAGAGAGAGAGAACTTCTACCCCCGTGTTCATTCCCCAAATGGCTACAACAGCTGGTGCCAAAGCCAGGAGCCAGGAACTCCATCCCAGTCTCCCTTGTGGGTAGCAGGGGCCCAAGCACTCCGGCCATCTTTTGCTGCTTTCCCAGGTGCATTAGCAGGGAGCTGGATGGGAAGTGGAGCAGCTGGGACTTGAACCAGAGTTCCTACGGAATGCTAGCAGAGCAGACAGCGGCTTAAACCACTGCTCCACAGTGCCGGCCCCTCATCACTCATTTTCTGTAGAAAAGCCAGCTGAGTGGCGCAGACAAACCCAGGCAGTCCAGCTCAAGTCACTTTGTAGTTCCCTGGCTAGGGATGAGGTTCACAGAGTTATCCTCTTCTTTTTTATTTTTATTTTTATTTATTTATTTTTGACAGGCAGAGTGGACAGTGAGAGAGAGAGACAGAGAGAAAGGTCTTCCTTTTTGCCGTTGGTTCACCCTCCAATGGCCGCCGCAGGCAGCGCGCTGTGGCCGGTGCACCGCACTGATCCGAGGGCAGGAGCCAGGTGCTTCTCCTGGTCTCCCATGGGGTGCAGGGCCCAAGCACTTGGGCCATCCTCCACTGCACTCCCTGGCCACAGCAGAGAGCTGGCCTGGAAGAGGGGCAACCGGGACAGAATCTGGCACCCCGACTGGGACTAGAACCCAGTGTGCTGGCGTCGCTAGGTAGAGGATTAGCCTAGTGAGCCATGGCGCTGGCTCTTCTTTTTTTTTTTTTTTTAAGATTTATTTTTATTTATTTGAAATACGAAACACAGAGTTAGAGAGAGAGAGAGAGAGGTCTTCCATCTGCTGGCTCACTCCCCAAATGGCCGCAACAGCGAGAGCTGCGCTGACCCAAAGCCAGGAGCCAGGAGTTTCTTCTGGGTCTCCCACGTGGGTGCAGGGACCCAAGCACTTGAACCATCTTCTACTGCTTTCCCAGGCCATAGCAGAGAGCTGGATCAGAAGAGGAGCAGCCAGGATTCGAACTGGTGCCCATACAAGATGCTGGCGCTTCAGGCTGGGGTTTTAACCCACTGAGCCACAGCCCCCACTGGCCCCCACCCGCTTCTTCTAAGCACAGTGAAGACCTGGAATTGTCACCCCCATCTGCTACTCTCCAGCTGTGTGACCCTGAGCCATTTGCTTCACAAGTCTGGTCCCTCATCTGGAACAGAGAGGGCTAGGGGTGGGGCAGGGGTCTGAACAGCCTCATTAGTTCTGTTCAGTAAAGACTCCCAGCTTCCAGAACCTTCCTGCTGTCTTCACCACCACCCCCCCAACCGTGGTCTCAGGGGCAAGACAGCGTGGAGGTTAAGAGACAATGAACCTGACCACCCACGGTGCCTGCCCGCAGTGAGTCTTCAGTGGATGTTGGCTGTTAGTGTTTTCACTACGTGGATACATTGGCCTTTCCCTGCTGCCCAAGTGTGGAGCTGGCCTGCAGAAAGAGCTCCTCCAAGATGAGGCTAACAGGACCACGGCAGACATGACCCCATCGCCATCACTTGGAGAATGGGCAGGCAACAGGCTCAGGAGAGGCATGCTACAAATACAGCCCCAGCCCCGCCCACTTCCACCCAGCCAGACTAAACTGGGAGCCCCAGGCCGGGCCCCATGTCCCACTGCAGCTGGGAGGAGGAGGCAAGACAAATAATGGTGTTCTCCTCCAGACACCCCCAGAACTTACTCACATGGCCACACCCAGTGCCAAGAGAGGCTGGAAATGCAGTCCTTGTTCTGGGCAGCTGGGTGGGAAGGGGGCGATCTGCAGGCTTGGCCACCAACCTCCAGTCCTTCTCCACGCCGCCCCGGCTGCTGTCTCTACCCTGCAGCTTCCCATCATGCCTCGGTCCTTCACTGGCTCTCCCTGCTGCCGGCAGCCTGCGCGTCATGTGTACCACATGGGCTGCAAGGAACCGCAGGCTCTGACCCCCTCCGTTCTCGCACGTTCTTCACCCCAGCCACATCCAGCCCCTGGTGACACTCTCTCAGACCTGCTTCCTGTCCCCATGCCTTTGCTTGGGCTGGAAATGCCATTTTCTCTCTCACCCTTTTCGTTAGATGATCACCTCTTCTGCGGTACCTACTGGAGACAGAGACAAAGGAGTGGCAGCTCCGGGAGCCTCTCTCAAAAACCCCCTTTTACACCCCCAACTGTGAGGTCTAGGAGCTGCACCGTTCTGCAGTTTCGTCGGTACGCCGAGAGGGGGCGCAGCATAGCCACAAAAAGTCCAGAGGCCGAGGTCGCAACCAGAGGAACGGCGCAAAACCACTTCTTGTCCTCAAACTGCTTGCTTGCCGAGGGCTTCTGACACTGCAAGGTTTGCCCTTGAGACTGGGGGACATGGTGTCCTCCACTAGACGGTGAGCTCGCCACCACTGCCTCTGCTCCCGGGACGGGGATGTCCTCGCTGGCTGTCGGGGAAGTGGCCCTCTCCCTGCGTCCAGAAGGCTTGCTGCCTCCTGCACCCAAGGCTGGCCAAGCTGACCAGGCTGAGTTAGGGGCAGCTACGTCTTTCTCAACTGAAAACTTTTTTTAAAGATTTATTTATTTATTTGGAAGGCAGAGTTACACAGAGGCAGAGGCACAGAGAGAGATCTTATATCCGCTGGTTCACTCCCCAAATGATTGCACCGGCTGGAGCTGCACCAATCCGAAGCCAGGAACCTGGAGCTTCTTCCAGTACAGAGGTCCAAGCACTTGGGCCATCTTCTACTGCTTTCCCAGGCCATAGCAGAGAGTTGGATCAGAAGTGGCGCAGGCCGGCGCCGCGGCTCACTAGGCTAATCCTCCGCCTTGCGGCGCCCGCACACCGGGTTCTAGTCCCGGTCGGGGCGCCGGATTCTGTCCCGGTTGCCCCTCTTCCAGGCCAGCCCTCTGCTGTGGCCAGGGAGTGCAGTGGAGGATGGCCCAGGTGCTTGGGCCCTGCACCCCATGGGAGACCAGGAAAAGCACCTGGCTCCTGGCTCCTGCCATCGGATCAGCGCGGTGCGCTGGCCGCAGCGCGCTGGCCGCGGCGGCCATTGGAGGGTGAACCAACGGCAAAGGAGGCCTTCTCTCTGTCTCTCTCTCTCACTGTCACTCTGCCTGTCAAAAAAAAAAAAAAAAAAAAACAATGAAGTGGCGCAGCCGGGACTCGAACTGGTGCCCATATGAGATGCTGGCAGGGCAGATGGTGGCTTTACCTGCTACACCACAGTGCTGGCCTCTGTCAACTGAAAAGTAAGGTGAGAAGGGTCTGGTGTGCTCTGAGGGCCTCGGAGACCGTGTGTGGCCCATGCACGGAGCAGGGGGTTCACACCTGGCCTCCCTTACCAGCTCCTGTGCTCTGCAGTTGCCAGGCTGGATCCACTTAGGCTAAGGGACGGGGAAGCTGTGCCCCAGAAGGTAATGTCAAACATCTCCCCAGCCAGGCCTTGAGCTGGAATGAGGAAATGGAAAAGGTAAACCCTCCTGGACTTATGCATCCTCAACATCTTATTTTTGCCCACAGAGGTTTTTAAATCAGATTTTTGAAGCGTGCAGAAGATCAAGAGCTGGAACTACCAATGGGCACTTGCCCGATTATAAACGCTTAGCCAGCCCTTTGCCACCTTTTAGGGTTCTTTTTGGCCTCCTCATCAGCTCCCAGATCATTTTTCTCTTTCTCAGTTGGCCTGAGCTTGTCACATAACACCAGCTACCATTTCTCTGCTCTCTATGGTCACTCCCTCCTCATCCATTTCTTTAACAACAAAAGAAAGCCCTCTATGAGGCCACATCCTGAGGTCAAGTTTCAGTCCTCAACTTATGTGCCCTATCAGCATGTTGGACACCTGTGATCTTCTCCTGCCTTCTTAAAACTCCTTCTAGGCCAGCGCCGCGGCTCACTAGGCTAATCCTCCGCCTTGCAGCGCTGGCACACCGGGTTCTAGTCCCGATCGGGGCACCGGATTCTGTCCCGGTTGCCCCTCTTCCAGGCCAGCTCTCTGCTGTGGCCAGGGAGTGCAGTGGAGGATGGCCCAAGTGCTTGGGCCCTGCACCCCATGGGAGACCAGGATAAGTACCTGGCTCCTGCCATCGGATCAGCGCGGTGCGCCAGCTGCAGCCCGCCGGCTGCAGCAGCCATTGGAGGGTGAACCAACAGCAAAAGGAAGACCTTTCTCTCTGTCTCTCTCTCTCACTGTCCATTCTGCCTGTTAAAAATTAAAAAAAAAAAAAAAGCTCCTTCTAGAAGGGGCTGGCGCTGTGGCACAGTGGATTAACACCCTGGCCTGAAGCGCCGGCATCCCACATGGGCACTGGTTTGAGTCCCAGCTGCTCCACTTACGATCCAGCTCTCTGCTATGGCC